AAAGATTATAGCGCCATTTTACAATGGTGCCACCATTATATGTTTGAATAGCTTCCATAAATTTTGGCAACAATTGATAAGATGTATTTCGATCACCAAACACCTTTGAGATTGCTTTTTGTTTTGCATGCCACATCTTTTTATAAGAAACATTGTCACTTGTTCATGTAAAATGTGATTAATTTGAATTAACATTAGTCCATATTGGATACCACTTGTTAATTTTCACCTAACATTTCTCTATTTTTTTTATTTTTATTCTTTTCCTTTTCTTTTTTCTTTCGTTTCTTTTTATGTCTTTTTTTTGTCATTTTTTTATTTATCATTTTATCATTTTTTTATTTTTGTTTTATATTTTCCAAGGCTGGTGCAAAATCGTTATCAATCCCTAAAAATTAGGAGACTCAACGATTTGTCTACCTATTAATTACCTAATATAACTATCAATTATTTAAGCAATATTCAATATTAAAATACATAGAAAATTTCATTACCAAAGCCTAAAAGATAAAAACTTAACACATTCATATAAGTCTAAAATCTACCTCAACAATTTCATATTGAATTAACATTAAATATTTTACTAAATTGAAATTGCCTAGCACTTGTTTAGGCATCCTGTCGGCCAAACACGCATCTTTGGATACTTGGCATGAAATAGGCCCGGCGCATGGGTTTGTGCGTTTGGCCTTGCCATTAGTCTATTGTGCCTATTGGCATGATTGGAGCCTATTGGCTTGGCTTGCAATCATGTGATTGTTGTCACACTTGGCCATCAAATGGCTTGGCCGGTGATCATGCACACTTGGCATGGCGTTAGCCTAGCATGCACGAGGCACACCTAACTTGAAAAGTGCTATGGCTAACTCCTAGAATTGGCCTCAAAGAAACCCTCTTACTTATCTAAAATTAGTTTTAAGCATTTATAAAATACCAAAATCATTAGATTTATAACATAAAAATTAGGAAATTATACAATTAATCAAAATTAACATCAATATAATTAAAAATTCAATAAGGGCTCGATACCAATCGAAGAATCATGCATTCTATAGGAGTATAAAATATTTTTTTTTACTCTCCTCCATTTAAAGTCTCAAGATTAGTTGTTGAATCAACTAACTATATATAAATAAGATGGATTAATCGTTACCTATTGTAGTGTAGAATCAAATCCGCGAATAGAATCTTCCAAGTGTTTGGCCGCTATTGATGATTTATGAAGCTAAGCACTCATACAAAAAGCATTTGAAAAATCTAGAATTTATAATTTTTTTCTATGTATGTTTTTCTCTCGAAGAATCACTCAAAGGTTGTTGGCACAATTTATAGGGGGAGGTGGCGGGTTCCCTTTTTTTTTTTTTTTTAGGTGAGATGCAATTTTTTCTTAGATTAGTTGTATGTCTTTGCATCTCATTCCCTCTCACTTATATAGGTGGCAACAAGTCCTTTTAGGTTAAGGAGTTATAACTTATGTGGGCTTTATTGGATCTTATTTTCATGACCTCCGAGCTTTATCCTTTAGTGCTTAAGATTATCTCTCCACTTTAATTATCTTATAGGCTTTTACTTAAGCTTATAGGCCTAAACTTGTTTGGCCCAGGTGACTCAATAATAAATTTGGACCATCCAAATAAGTTGGGTCGAGTGTTTTTAAAGAGGGCCATATTAGGAAATAATTTTCTAAGTTACCCTTGGATTTTACTAAACCTAAATTAGAAAACTAATTTTCATTTTAGGTAATTGACTTTTAAATTAAGAAACTAATTTCTAAAATAGAAAATTGATTTTTGAAACGGAAGTCGTTTTTTAAATTAAAAAACTTATTTTTGAATTAGGAAATTGATTTCAAAAATTAGAAACTTTTTTCCAAAATCTTCGCTTCTTTTTTTTTTTTTTGTGAATGTTTAAACTTATGCATATGACTTACTAGGCTCCTAGATATGTTGTTAATGTATCGAAAAGATAAAAGAAACTTCTTTTATCTCTCAATACATAAATCAAAATTGGCCTCTAGTATAGCATTATGATTATCCAATTCTCTAAAAGAATTACTTAATTCCTAATAACCTTTTACGAGTATGGTTTCTATATAATTCATTCCCCATGTCAATTTATCATAATGTGATCTCAAACTTGGTTTCATTGTATGTTTAATTATAATTATGATCACACAACTTTTCTTTGATCTCTTAATGTAGTAGCTCTCAAGTAAACCAACTATGCTCTATTGGTATACTTCCACTTATGATCATAGATTTTTGAGCGAGACATTCATCAAAGTGTAATGTGATAACTTCTTTTACATACAAGGAATAACATGTCCTATCTTAGTCATCCAGACTATCTCTATTAGATTCTTAATGCACCCAATGAATTGCTCACATACGACTTTTTACTAAGCCCATTGAAATGAATGTCAAAGTATATTAATCCTCTAATGAGATAACTATGATGACTTCAAGTCAAAAGACTACTTGTACCCATCTCATATGAAATTCTCATAGATACTACCAAATAGGTTCTTATGACTAGTCACGTTCGGCGATATGTTTTCTAACATTATTCACCTAAGTACTTGCTTTGGCATCACCATGCTAGTAGGTGTAAGATCTCCAACTATTATCTTAGAATAAGAGCATAGCACTCATAAGTCTACCGCATATTGTCAATGTCTAATTTTGATAATGCTATGACTTGGGACATTTAATGATATCGTTTGTGTACGTTGATGTTTGTTCCACATCTATTGATCAATCATGAATGCAATGCATATCATATAAACTTCTATCTAATTCTATCAAATTATAAATAACAAGAATTAATAAAAAGAATTCTTTATTAATATTGAAAATGCGACAATACAATATATCAAACCATTCAAACATGTTGGATCTTCGACACCTATACTAACATTGGTTACTTAATTAATTGAATTGGACTTAAGAAATTAATGTAATAAGTAATGGAAATAATTTGAGGTTAAATGAAAGCATTAATTGAACGGTTAATTGGTTTAGAAGCTAAAGTTTTAACGGTAAGAAGTATGGAATTAAAATAGCAAGGCAAAATTGATTACAAAGGTTAAGGCATTAAATGGAATTTAATGGTTAATGAATAAATGCATTTAATGGACTAATTTAATAGGCTAGTTTAAATAAATTTGGAAATAAAATTTCATATGTCCAAAAAAATGTTTTGAACGATTAAAACTCTAGCTAAATGTCTAAATAAATTTATTAAGTTCTTTACTCGAACTAATTAAATGGATTTCTAGCCTATGGATTTTTTTATAAGAACAATGGCATTAAATCAATATTTAATGGGTCAATATATATTGTTTATGTTCTAATTAAATTGAATATATTATAATTAAATTATATTTGGAATTAAAATAATTTAGAATAATCCTACCATATTTTATAGAATTTTTGGAAATTAAATATTTCTATTTTAAATTAAATATCAACTTTTAGATAGAATTTGGGAAAACTAACACACATGGTACTATTTATTATAATATAAGGTATTTTATTTAAACGATTAAATTGGAATCCAAGAATGAGTTTTTGACCAAATTATGACCTTTAATATTTCTACACACGATGTAAAAATATTAATTGGTGTTAGTATAATTTTTAAAAAATTTTATACCTAAGTTTTAATTAATTTGGACCTTTTTTTTATTATTATGAACTTTGTATGAAAACTATTATTTTACTAGTATTTTAGAACTGTTAAAAAATAAGGAATTTATCAAAAAATGTTAAAAATGTTATACCAAATTATCACATTTAATACTTCTACACACAATGTAAGAATATTAATTGGAATTAGTGAAATTTATGAAAAATTTTATACCTAAGTTTTAATTGATTTGGATATATTATTTTTCATTTATCATGTACTTTGTACGAAAATTATTATTTTACTAGTGTTTTAAAAATGTTAAAAAATGAGGCTTATGGATTTGTATTTATTGTACTGATTAAATACAAACGAGAACGGCTGAATCGCTGGCTTGAAGCAGAAGCAAGAGGTGGGCCCCAACAAGCCACGTTTCAATTATGGACAAAACATATCTGAGCCTTGTTTCCTTGAGAGAATGTCAAATCAGAGTAACGCCAGCACTGATAGTGCTCATTATCACTACAAGCAATTATTCTTTCATTTTTTGCAGGGTTTTAGTTTTTTTGTTTCAGCCTGCTTGCGTCTCCTATCTTTGCTTGGCCACAAGTCTTTAACCAGTTCACACCCCATTTTCCTCTCTTTCTGTTAAATATATTTATCCTCGTTTCATTTATTTTCTTCCTTTTTCTCTATGAGGAATTTAGTTATGTTGTATTGCTTGATTTGTTTTGTGAATTGTTGGCTTTTGTTTGCGCATGTCCTATGTGCTTTGCCACGGTTGGACCAGCGCTCACCCATTCATGTTAGACTGACTTCTGTTTTAGTTTTTCCAGTCAGGTAAATTGTAGCATTCACCTACGAGCCTTGATAAGGCACCGTTTTCTTGTTTCGAAAGCTAAAGCTTCAAGAGGAGTTCACAATGGAAGCATTTTCCCTTTTTTTGGGGCTGAAAAAGAGGTGAACTTTCCAACTTTTCAATGCATGGATGGATATGCAAGCATTTTAAAGTCGTAAATAAAAAATCTTAAATGCTCCAACTATAGTTTATAAATTCATGATTCCAGATGAACTTTACATAAAGTATAGTGCATTTCCTGCCAATCAAACACTCTTACCAGATACCTCCGATATGTGTATCAATGTAAAGTGAATGAACTATAAAAATCATAGATTTGGTTGGCAAAGCCCCCATGAGAGAAATCAGAGTTTCTTTTTTCTGTCTCCCTTAAGAGATTGGATCATTGCCAATGCTGATGAGACAGTAGTTTGCACCATTTTGTGAGGTTAATTACATTTATTCCAAGGGAAGATTTTCAAGTTTCTTTGAGAATATGGGAGAATATCAATCTTCAATGAGCAGAAATGAATAATTAAAGATCAAATTTTGGCACTTCAGCATCAAAGCCATGAGCGGCCTGGTAAGCTATTCGGGTCAATATATTCCTGTAAGGATCACTTTCTCTTCTCTCCTTCAGAAAAGCAATGCAGTTCTCCACCTCAGATTTGACTTGTAAGTATAATTCATGAGCTTTCCCCCGGTCTCTTAATTCTTGCTTCCTCCCTTCAGCACAAAATTGAAAACTTAAATCAGTCTACTGGCATTAAGAATTTGTATACAAATATATTGTAAAATTTTTATGACTGTTACTCAAATACAGTCATTGATTGAACATTACTGGTATAAGTTCTCAAAATAATTTTAACAGCCTTCTTTGGAATATTAGAATAGAATCTTGAACTTTTTGAGAAGTGCCGACAAGTAGCAACAATTGCTGTGGGTATTTTAAACATAATCCTGGCAATGCAGCAGTGTGTGATGAGCCTAACTAGAAAAGAAAAGACACTGTAGAATATGTCTCGAGTTGGATCTTAGAAGCAAAGATGACCATACAAGCATATATGCAGATTGAGAATACAAATTGAAATGAATAGAATAACATGGATTAACTTAATTGATTCCACTTCCACCACCGAAGTGAATTGGGTTTGGCTCCTCCAAATTTCAAGGGGTCTCAATATTAACCAAAGTTTGACCACCACATTTTAAGGGATATTGAAGTTTGATATCATAAACTGTTTCCAGGAGTTCCAAGACATGCCGTATCAGTTGTATTATGTTGACGAATGTTTTTTCTGCTTCATCCATGACGTGATAACTATGCAGATAGTCAAAGATAATGAATTGTCCAAAGACCATACCTTCTGTTTCAATTGGTTTCCCAAAATAGTAATAGAACCTGCCAGGAAATTTTGGTATAGTACCTAAAAAGTGGGGTTCTTGTTTTCCCACCTCACCATTCGCTTCAGTCCTATCATCAAAACAAAATGACAGATCTAAACATTGAAGCAGGCAACTAAACGAAATAAAATTTGGAGCAAAGAAGATAAACTCAAGGTGGGTGAAATTTGATGGAAGGCAATCAACGGAAGAGAAAAAAAAAAAACCCAAAATCACATACCTCAAACTCACAACCTCTTCTGATACTTTTTTTATGTAATCCCTAAGGAAGGGAATCTTCATTTGATCATCATAATCAAAAACCAACTGAAACTCCATGAATACATGCAATCAATTATTATGAGACTAATCCTGCTTCATTTTTAAATGAGTGTAAGAGAATGTGTTTGATGTGCACGGAACACAAGGTTTAGTTTTATCATAGATATGCTATAGAAGAGATTGTAAGAATAATTTCATGCATAGAATTTCTGCAAGCATATTCAAATATACATGCCCTTAGTGTCGGGATTTTCAGTGAATAGTATTCACCACGAAGCAAGATACAATCCCATACATTCCCTTGGCAAGGGAAAAAAAAAAAAAAATCATAATGTGGTGCAGAAGTGCTCTGTATGAAAAAAAGTGAAGCAAATCAATCAGACAGAAATGAAGTCCTTAAGACTTACTTCTCCAAAATCATCGGCTCCAACGACACCAAATGGCACAATTTTGGCTCCAAACCTAGCTGCCATTCTGACAAACTCTGACTGTTCTGGCCAGAATAACTTGTATAGTTCACCCTGAGTAGCATGAAGAGTCAACCATTTGCAGAGCTATTTCAATTTGTTTATATATTTAAAGTTTTCTTTTAGTGGCCAAATGGACCATTGCCACTTCATTATCTTCCATATTCTTTGAAAGAAATTAGTTCTTTTTTTATTCTGGAAGGCAAGTAGAACAGTAGTATACTGTTGTATTCTGGTGTAGTCTTGTAATTGTTCGAGGCAAGATTCAAAATTAGAAGAACATGAAGATTAAACTTCTTTCGAAATGTAAAACTGCCTATCTCGATAAGATATATCCATTAGAAGCATTACCTTTCGATGACAGGCCTCCCGCATGCCTCCTGGGTATAATAGCGCATGAGCCTTTGAAGACATAAGTTTGAAGAAATTGCTTCCTGAAACAGGAACAGCACCCATAGTTCTGACTGCATCAAATTGTGATAATGGAGGCAACATCCCATCTTTCTTCTTTCTTATGAACAACATTGGATGTGCTAACCCTCTTATAAGAATATTTCTTTCCAACAAAAAATTGGATATCAATGGGACCACATCATGTCCCAACAGCATGTGATAACCAACAAACAATACCGGTCCTTCCGAAGGAACTCCAGCAAGCCCCCTCACAATCTTCCCATCTTCAAAAGATGAGAGCATCACAGGACTTGTGGCAAGCATAAACAATCTAAAGCACAGTAATAATTATGAGAAGTATCAGTCAAAGTAAACCAAATTTCTGGACTCAATTAATAATCAATACTTCTACAATGATGAGGGCTAAAGAAAATTTTAGGCTGACTATAACCATTGTTTATTAAACATATACAAACCAATGTTGCATGGTACAATACACAAACCCTACCAAAAAGTGCAGTGCCAAGTAAAGCTTTCCGAGAAGTTGAAATAAGCATGTTATTTTCCCTACCCACACATGTTATGCCAACAATAGAATAAAAAAGTTAGAGAAATTACTTTCTTGTGCTGTTGATAGAAAATATGGCTTTTATATGTAAGAAAGTAAAGTGAGGCTACCTGTTTGATTCATATAATTTTTTGAATTCCGGAGGGGTTGGTGGTATGTAATCTGATATGTAGTCAAGGTACTTTCCACGACGATAGAAACGAGCTCCCTTGATGACTGATACCAAATCAAAATCATGTTCCTGCCCCAAATTGTTGTAACTATTACATGAGTAATTAGAAGGAAACTTGTACGATAACATAGTGAAACACAATCTCTTCTGTGTATACACACTAGGAGAGATAAGAACGAGAGAGATTATCCCACCAAGAAGAGGAAATGACCACTGTCGTTAAACTTGCGATTCTCACATTTTAGCAGTTCAAGATAAAGCCTATGACCTTCTTCTTCACTTGGAAGCAACTGATCCTTTCCACTGAGAAAAACGAAACAGCAAATCAGACTCTAAGCAGCAAATGTGCTACTGTGCAGGAAACGCTAGGAAAATAAATTTATGGAAATTAGAACTCTAATTTCTAGAATCAATTAATATATTTGGATTTTTCATCAATTCAAATATTTCGAATGACCCGGAAATCACAATGCTTATATCCTGTTTATGTTGTCATAGTTTATGGTATAGACTTCATAAAGGAGAATTTCTATTGGTCTAATGAACATTTTATTATTTATGGATGAGCTAAATAAAGATACATTCAGTAGAGTTAAAGCTGGGTGTTTTTTTTACTATGAAAAAAAAAAAAAGAAAAACTAATTCTCATGCTTTTGTTGCTCTTTAGCAATTTAAACAAGTTCGAAAAACATTGATACATTTCTACAAGTAACATTTGATAAATTATGTCTAAGAAACAGACCTAGAAAGTACGAGCGTTTGACATTTTACTGCATGGAGGCGTGAATTGGCATATGCTGAAGCTGTTTTAAGCATCTGTAGCTTCCAAAGAAATGTTTCTCTAGGCAAGATATTAGCCAGAACCTGCGACAGAAACCATCAATTTCTTTTCACAAGGCTAAAACCTCATGACTTGGGGTAAGCACCAACATAAGAAAAGTGAAGACTCGAGATGACACGAGCATCTCACATGAACTTGAACATCTAGGTGGCAGCTAGGCTATATATTTTAATTAATTTCTCTTTATGATCAAGTAGGAACATGACATGTCAATACCATGTTCATAAACATTACAGGAGACACTTAGAGTTAAGACATGTTGAGTACAACCTGTCTCTTATAGTTTCAATAAGCCTATAGTATCCTTTTCCAAACAAGTGTAATTTATATTGAATCAGGTTAGCATGCCCTAAAGTGAAATCTTACATTGAGGTAAGACGACCTTGCAACCAAATCTTGTGATAATCCTCCAATTGTTTGTTCTAGAGGAAATCCCTTCAATGCATTGTCCATTGCCATCCTCAAAGAATCACCTAAACAGATGCAATATAATTGCTAGTGTAATTAGGATCAAATATTGTATATATGTACACTTATTTTCCATGATTTACTGAATTATCAATATTCAGATAATAACAAGCAAACTGGAAGACAGAGAAAAAAATAAAATTTATCATCCACTAAAACGGCAAAACAAGACTATAAATCAAATTTGAGCTTCTTAATCTTGAAGTTTGGTCCTGTATCTTTTTGGTGAGCTATCTTAAACTCTAAGGTGTTTATTTTTCTTTCGTACCTTCAAAGCGTTGAACAAAACCTATCCTCCATTTATAAGTCCTCCACATTTTCATTTCCATCTTCTAAACTAACCAGAATTTTGTTAGTACCTGCCTCTGAATTTTGCCGGTATCTGTAGAGAAGCATAATAATACAAAACTCTCCAATTAGACTCCAAGCCCAGGTTCAGCATACTTGAAGTTAAACATCTTTGATTTATGGATTTACATAACTGAGCACCTACTCTCAAATCTCCATCAGTAGAGGACCATGTAATTTATCATTTTTCATGATCAACTTAGATTAGGATAATTCAAGAAAACAGGAGCTGACTATTGGTGACTGCAAGGTTTTCTTAACTGAAAAGACCCCCGCATAAATCAAAAGATTGAACAGACAAAACCTTATAGAACGAAAAAAAATAAAAAAAATTACCTTGTAACCGACGCCAAACATTAATTGGTATGCAGATCAAAATATGGCTCAGAATGTTTTCTTTTCAAATATTTTGGTATGATGTCTGTATTACCTCATTTTCTAACATAAACAGGTGCTTTTACCTCTAAACATAATCAAATATCCATTTGAAGTAACACATAATGTCAGAAAATATAACTCTACTGGACAAGGTGAACCTGTCATTAAGCTCAACATATAAGGAATGGTAAGCTGGTGTTGGATGGGTAAGACTTCCAATAAAGGTATGAGAGGCATCAGCCATGACTTTTCAAAAGATTTTGCTGCAATGACACATCAAACAAAATCATATGAATTGAGCAAGACGAACGACATCTTCTAAAAGCACATGTTATTTTTGAACCAAATCTAACCTTTTTTTTTTTTTTTTGCCATTATTTAAGAAAGAGCTTTGCTTTCCATTCATAATCCCAAGTTAAAGATCAATTAATGTTATTTATCGCCGCAAGGAAAAGAAAAAAAGCATCTATTTATGTTGTTACATAAGTCCTTGCTTATGTTGATTTTGTGTCACCTAACTCCCACATATACGAGAAAATACTGAATGTCTCAAAGTTCGTTCGTTGATTTAGATAAAGGAATCAATTTTCACCTGGATTGGCCAAAACGAGTACAAGATCAACATCAGGGTTACAAGCAGCAACAGCAAGGGCAAGACATGCTCCAAGAGATTCTCCAACAAGATATATAGGTCTACTAGGAAACTGGTAACTCTCCGATCTTACTGTCTTTTCAATAAACTTCACTAGGCCTGAATCATAAGAATCCTTTTAAACGAAAAATTCTTACACAAATACAAGAGACATGTCTATTAGAAATAACATATCAAGCAGGTTACAGGGTAAAACGAAATACCTAGAAAGGATGTTCTGTCCTTAACTGGAATCTGCAAACACCATATATTGAAAATCCTAGTTTCAACAAGAGAAAAATCATATCAGGTTGGCTTTGGATGATCCACAAAAATTTGATAAAAAAACCTCACGTAATAGTATCAAGGCATCTGAGGGAATACTTACTTCCCCAGAGAATTGTGCTGCGTGCTAAGTCCTAGTCCAGTACCATCAATCCCTGCAAAATTCAAAATCTGTCATTTAACCGTAAGAGTTTGAGTTGAATAATTTGAAAGTGGGAAATGAGAAATGAAAAACTTAGTACAAACAGGCTGAAATAACTTCCTTAACTATCAAGCTCACCCGGTTATGTCTCCGATTACTACGGTACTAACGAAAAAGTATTCTCAGGCTGAAAATCTACTTATGGAAACATTATCTACTTTACCGAAAGAAACAGATAATAAATCGGCAAAAAAGGACTGACCAGGCAAAAATAGAAGAAGAGGAGAATTATCCAAGCGGGACCCGCCCTCCAACGGAGAGAACCATTGAGGCGGACCACCACCGTTTGATTTAGTAATCAAAATTTTCGACTGCTCAAAATAATCCTCTAAGCTCTTTCTACTACTTCTCAACTCCCTTTCAGTTTTCTCTAACTCCAAAGCATACGGATTCTTTTGCTTCTCTTTCATTCTCTCTTCTTCTCCTTCTTCTTCACTCTTCTTCTTGAACGTTCCATTCCCTCCATAATTCTTCATCGTCGTTTCATTTCTCGCCGTTGTCGTTTCAGTTGATATCATTTGCTCTATAGAAACAGCAGAAAGACAAGACGTATTTGATACAGGATTCAGTTTCAATTTATCGTTTGGTGAAGGCGACGTGGACGGCGGTGCACAGCAACGGACAGCTGAGAAAAAACTACCTCCGGCGGTGACTGTTGACATCTTATAGTATCTTCACTCTTTATTTGTTTCTCTTGTTTTGGCGGTCCTGAGAAATTTGAAGTCTGTTATAGTTTTTATATTATTGTTCTTTTAGGCTTAAAACAAGGAATAACACCGTCCTAGTGTTGGGAATTTAGTACCGTCCTTGTGTTACTTTTCTTCAGAATTTAATCTCACTCTGCATAATTAGATTTCGAAATAAATAAATAAATAAAGTGCAGAATATAATAAACAGTATAAAATAAACCGGCACAATTATAATAACATAATTATAAGAGCATCAAATTTATATGAAAAAAAATCATGGGAATATTTTTTTAAATAATAAATTATAATAAAAAAAGATAATACAATCGGTTAAGTTTTACTAGTGAACTTGAGAAGCAAAATCATTACCTCTTTAACTAAATATGTCTTTGTAATTGCAATACTAAAAAATGCACCCAAAATCCATGCTTTTTTCCTATATAATTTGTCAAAAGAATAAGAAAAATCATGACAAACTCTTTCTTTTATATATGCCTATTGAATTTTAACCAAAATTTCAGTTTTAAATTCATATAAAATATTAAAAGCATAAGATTTATAACCAAAAATAGCTAATTCATACAGCTTAATCATAATTAACAAAACATACAATCAAAGATTCAATCGAGACTTTGCTACTAATTGAAGGATCATGCATCCTATGGAAATATAGAATAAACAAAAAAATTCCTTTATCTAAAGGACCTAAGATCATGCCATTGAATCAATTAACCATATATTCATGAATTAAAGCTCAAAATAAAGAATTACCTCTTTTAGCATAGATTTAAACATTTGCAAAAAAGAGTCGTTCAAGTATTTGGCCTTTATCGATAATCCACGTAATCTAAGCACCCACAAAAGAAGCACTGAAAATTGATATAGTGCTAGCTCTACCATTTCGACTTGTTTAGTGCTTTCTATAGAAATCTAATTAAGATAATTTTATGACAACCCAAGAGAGAGAGATGAGGTGGCGTTTGCTATAATTTTTTTTAGGAAAAACTATTTTTCCTTTCGACTTAATGCCGTGTGCCCCAGTATTCTCTTTCTTTTTGTCAAAATTTCTCTCTCTTAAAAACTTTTTTTTTTTGTACCTCTCTCCTATATATCCAAAGACAAAGACGTGCGGTAATGAGTCCCTAAAGGACTTTAATTCTTAGTCCTTCAAGGATCGGGAGTTATTTTACTTGTGAACTTTTGATTTTTATCATTAAAACATTCATCCTTATCTAAAAAGGTTCATGTTTATCCTCCCACCAAATTATCTTTTAGGCTTTTAATTAAACCTATTGGCCTAAAACCATTTTGGCTCAATTAATTAGACTACCCAAATAAATTAAGTTAGATAATTTTAAGAGGGCCACATTAGGAAGCAATTTATCCAATTACCTTAAACCTAAATTAGGAAACTAATTTCAATTTTAGGTTATTTACTTCAAAATTTAGAACTAACTTCCAAATTAGGAAACTAATTTCTAAAATTGGAAACTTCGATTTTAAGAAACTTTTTATTTTCGAAAAACTTTTCCAAAATAGAAAGTTTTCAAAATTGAAAACTTTTTCGAACATATTTGCTTGTTTTTAATCACGTGAATGCTTAAACTTATGTGTGTGACTCAATAGGCTCTTAGATATGTTGGCAATGTATCAAGAATAAAAGACACCTATTTTATCTCTTGATACATAAGTCAAGATTTCCTTTTAGCAAGGCATCATGGCTACCTAATTCTCTAAGAGGATTAATTAATATACAATTACCTTTCATGAGCATGGTTACCATATAATTCAATCTTCATGTTAACTTATCATGGTGTAATCTAGAACTTAGTTATTAGTCTTGTTCGATTATGATCGCATAAGTTTTCTTTGATTCCTAAATGTCTTAGCTCATAGAATAAATCGACTATGCTTTGTTGGTGTACTCTTACTATGGCCATAGATTTCTTGAGAAGACATTCATTAAAGTGTAATGTGATAACTCCTTTAGCATATAAGGAATGAAAGGTCCTATCTTAGTCATCCATCTACCTCCATTAGATTTTTAATGCACCCAATGAATGACCTATATGCAACCCTTTACTAGATTCATTGAAACGAGTGTTAAAGTACACAAATCCTCTAATGAGATAACAACGATGACTTCAAGTCTAAGGATTAGGTGTATGTATCTCGTATGAGATTCCTATAGACTAAACCAAATGGGCTCTCATGGTGAGTCAAGTTCACCGATATGTTCTCTAACATAAATTACGTAAGTGTCGGCTTTGGCATCCCCATGCCAATATGTATGAGATCTCCTACTGTTATCATATAACATAAGCATAACACTCACAAGTCTAACCGCATCTAGTCAATGTCTATTCTTGACAATGCTATGACTTAGGACATTTAATGATATCATTTATGTGCATTAGTGTTTATCTCACATCTTTCGATCAACCACCAATGCAAATGTATACCATAAGGACTTCTATCTAATTCCGTTAAATAAATAAATATAAAACATAAGAATTAATAGAAAGACTTCTTTATTATTAATAAAATAAACAATGTAATAAAATAATAACTCAAACTTATCCAAACATGGTTGGATCTTGGGCTCCTACATAAACATCAATAATACATTATTTGAACTTAAGTTCTTGGTAAAATAATAATATTGACTCGGTAGACCTATTCATTTAAGACTTTACATTTTGGATTGATGAGTTTTGCTCCTTCTACCAAACACTTCGTTTTTGTATCATCATCATTATCAACTATTGGCCTAATATCAATTCCATGTTTTTCATTCAATCTTTCTCCATATGTGGCAATCTCTTTGACAAAAGTAACGTAAGACTTATTTACCAATCTCTCTTTTTTTTTAATTTACTTGAGCCTACATGATAAGGAAATCAAAAAATAACGACAAAATTTTATGTCACTAAATTATTAATATACGTCACTATTTACCCTTAGCAACATATTTAAGATAATATACTTTTAGTAGCTAAAACTAACATGTGTGGAATTTTTTAGTGATAGTTTATCCATTGCTAATGTGTAGAATTTTCATCGCTAAATCAACATAAATAGTTGTCTTTTAGGTCTAACATTTGTCGCAAAGCCATCGCTATCTCTCTTATTTTCATCACTAACTAGTGACGGAATTGTTGTCGTTAAATGATACTTACTAAAATTCCTTGCAAATCCATTGCTATATCCTTCACTATTTCGTGATCGTACATTTATCCATTGTAAATAGGTTTAATTTTTGTCATTAATTTGGTTGTTGATCCATCACTAAATGAAGGAATATATATAATTTAGTAGCCATTTAATGTTAATGGTAGTAGCAAACAACTAAAAATAATAATTTATTAAAACACAATATATTATTTAATAAAATTTAAATAATATAAATTGAAATCAAGTAAATATATAAATGCTTTAATTTGTACAAAACATTAAATACCTAAAAAATAAATAAGAAATTTAGTTCTAACCATCATCATCATCATCATCTCCCGGGTTATATTTTAGTTGTTGGGTATTAAGAGAAATAGTTGACTACTTAGTTGTAGAACGTGTTAGTAGGATAAATGTGAGTCTATTGTAGATTCTATAACAACCCTATCACTATCTCTATCTAACCGAGTAGAGTAGTGAATGTAACCTCATATTCCCGAATGGTAATCTTTATCTCTTTGATCCTATCTTCATGCTGGTAGTAACCTTCAAAATATTACTACTAGAATATCAAAAGTGGCAGATGAGGAGCTAGTGCTAGAATGGGAGTGATACTAGGATGTTTGTGATCCGAAGCAATACTTTCTACTTTTTTCTCCTCTTGTAGTATCAAAACATATCTTAGTCATGCCGATATTTGGAGATAATGAATCACCCTTATGCTCGTTTTTTAGCAACTACGTCTTGTAGTAACTCGCATAGGCTCCTACGTTATTAAAATAATTATAATCATAAATATATTTTTTAGATTATATTGATAGATGAATATTTACAAAAATTGAAAATTTAACATTATTTTTTGGGACCACTTATTGATGAATGACCCATATTTCTATTTGTCACTCGTTCGAGAACACCTCATAAGGACTTGGGTTACGACCATATTAATTATGCTAAAAAAATAGATAAAATAATACAAAATGTAATAAATGCAAAAATTAATTTGTTACATAATAAATAATAAGATTCACTAAATGTTTAATTTTCTCAATCAAAGAGTTGAACCCCCACCCCCTCGTATGCCTTGATGGGCTAACCCCGACACCACCATTCTTCGACATCCGATTCTAGGACAATTCGTCGAGATTAGGCTTGAAATTTAGGTGTGGCCTAATTCCAATGCCATTCATAACATGATCTGTTGTGCAATAAACATGGGTTTGTTAGTCTTTCACTATAGTTTGTTCAGCATGCCACCTTACCGTCTTCGTGTCAAACTCTCCCACATATCTTTAATCGGCGAGTCGATGGCCACATCCCATAAAAATTACTTCTACATGAAAAAAATATTAGTATATTTCATGTTAAATTAATACTTTAAATGAAATATAAATAAACAATTAATATGTTAGCCTAAACTTATTAAAGTAGAAGTCTTTCATTTACATGGAGATAGACTTCCATGTGAAGGCGAGTAGAGTCCAATCGCTCCTTGAAAATTGAGATGATTTTTGTGCAGCACTTACTTAATGGAACCAAGCTATGAA